ACTAATAGACCACAGTTAGTCTTAAGACCGGTCTGGACCTAAAAAAAATTGGTCTGCTCTAAGTCTTAAGACTGGATCGGTTTGGACCGGTCTAGACTAGTAAAGTCTTAAGACAGAAGACCATAATAGACCAGATTAGACTTGGACCAAAATTGACCAGACTGGACTGTTAACATCCTTAATTAGTTTTAGTTTAAAATTAAAAAGATCTAATAAATATATTTAAAAATTCAAAATACTTTTAAAAAAAACAAAAATCAAATTATTAATTTTGGTGATAATAAATTAAAAAAACTTTTTACTATATATAATAAAAAAAATATAAATTTGATATATACAGTATATCAATTTAAGCATTTTAATAAAAATAAAAAAATAAAAAATTCTAATACAATAAGTTTTTAAGCTTTTTGAATAATAAAAAGATTAATCAATAATAACGTTAATATTGAGCCTTATATAGATAATAAAACCAAAATTTAAATACTACAATATAGTAAATATAAAAGAAATTTTAAGTTCTGTGTATCAAAAAATATAAAAATGATAAAATATAAAAAAAATTACTTGAAATCTAGATTAGAATATAACAAAACCCAGAGTACCATAAACTGGTTTAGAAATCTAGATTAGAATGCAACAAAACCCAAGAGTGCCAAAAACTGTTCAAGAATTTGCATTTTTATCCTACTTACACTACCTCTCTAAATGCACTTGCAAATTCTGCTTCAAATACAGTATATACTTGATCCCATAAATGCATATTTTCTTATTATTTTCTTTAAATGTTGTTAGTATATTTAGAGAGATCTGCTATCCCTTATCAAATAAAAATCGCACCTTTAATTTACTTTAGGAAAATTGTTGTAGTATTATAGTTTAGAATTTTTATTAAGTGACTCCGCTTCCTTCAACGCTTTCACTCGATTAATTATCTCATCATCAATATATAAATCAATAGTCATATCTTTGCCACCAGGTCTAGCAGCATAATGATCAAATTCGGTCTGACCATGTTCGCGTAAAATTATTTCGTCAATTACAAAATTACCACTTTTAATTATATAAAAAATTTCACATTAGACTTTCCCTTAAAGTATGTGTGTATAATGTTAGCCAATGATCTAGGTCAACTATTTTTAATATAACCTTAGTTATATAATAATATGACACTTTAACCATAGATATTGGTCATATTAAATTCTAGCAAAAAAAATTTTTACTAAAATTTTACTATGTTATAACCAATGACCTATAATAGGTCATATTGGGTAATTTAAGGTCACCGGCCAACATTATGTATGTATGTGTATGTATATGTACCTGAATTCTTTTGAATTTTTGGTAAGAATTATATGTGCAGCATCAGCCATTATTTCTGGGGTTCTTGCATCACTTC